ATCTAGCTCTTCGTTGCCTTAGAAGGAATTAATTATTCCTATCCACTGCACTATTGTGAGAGAAAACAGTCAGCAATTCCTTGAAAATCCTAGGGCGTTCGCGACAAACTTTAATCAGCGAACGTTATCAAGTAGTATTTGATATATATGAAATGTGTTAAAAAAGTCAAAGTCTCCTTAACATTCACTCTGTGTGAAAGGCCGAGATACTGGGAGGTATTTCGAAAATAGCACAGCGGAATCAAGCGCTGCCGAATTTGGTGTTTAAATGTATTATTTGATATATGAGCTAGTGAGGACTGAAGGAATTCCCTGTCCTGTTGTGTGTCTCAAGTTTTCTTCTGATTAAAAAAAGATTTGTTGGTTCCAGACCCCCCCAGTTTCAGTCAAAATGAGATTAGTGAAAAAAGTACCAAAATCAACCAGATATATGGTGGATGTGTTCGGTTTTGCTCCAATGCAGCAGTTCGATGGTTTTACATCCCTGTGTATGTAGCCGGCTTCGTGTAAATACTGCAACGCATGCGCAACCTGTGTTTGTATTGTAACTTTGTTATTTTTGCAGTATTTTGAGTTTCTGATTCAAAAAACAACTAGTAACCGACTGTTTGCTTCGAGAGGTTCAAATTGTTTGTTAGTTTGGTTAGTGGTAATTTTCCTCCTTTTATCTGCTTGGCAAGAGCTTATTTTTCTTAATTTCCACTAAAGTTTTAAAAGCCAGACTTGTGTTTCCTCTTATTTGCTTAGTAAACACTTAGCACTAGGCCTATTTTTCCAATTATTGAAAAGCAAAACTTGCCTTAGTATCGCTAGCTTTATTGACCAAGCAAAAGGTATTTTATTGGGCTTATTCCTTTACCAAATTATAGAAAGCCCCAGGTTTGCTTGTACGATATTCGCCTTATTTGCTCAGCAGACAATGTTCAGTGAGCTTATTTCTCCTTGCCCTTCTCCTGCCCACCTCCCCCCGCCCCCTCCCCCTCCCTCCTTCCTGCTCCCTTCTTCTTTCCCCGAAGTAACAGAAATTCGATTTGCCATAACAGTCCTACCTCTCGAATCCTTCAACTTTTCAAAGTTTTTCCGACTGTCTTAAACAAAGGTCAAGAAAACAAGATTGACATTTTACAAAATGTTTCCCTATTTTGAGCATTCTTTTTCTCTTCTTATAAGTACTGAAGAGAGGGAGTCCATGGGAGGAGGCAGCATTAGGAATACACTTTTTGAGACAAGATGGTGGTACCCAAACAACAGAACAAGAACTTTAGACGGCTAAAGCCTCATGTGCATCTTTTTTGGGAGAATGGCCAAGCTGATAACCCCTTCAGGAGATGAAACGAACAATAAGACCACCAGTAGACTGACCGTCAGATGAAGCATCTCTGATCAGAGCAATTGGGGGAACTTTCAGCTGCATAACTGGGGAAGCATCTTATCAATTGATGACCGTTCCAAGTATTCAAAGTTCAATTTGATTATTGCAGATACAAATTTTCCGCTTTCTGGTGTATTATTTTTTGCATGTTAATTTAATTACAGTATCCCCTCTCTTTATTCTCATCCACCACAGATAATTATTTTCTGTCATCGCTGATATAATACTTTTTCTTTTTTTAGCCTGCAAGTTCTTCATTAGCAGCTAGCTTATTTGTACGTATATCTTTCAGCCAGCGGCAAAATGCAATTTTTCCTTCTTTTTTTGTCATATTCTCAAGGGATGTTTAATTAACGCAGACAGTATTCATCATTTTTCAGCTAAGAAAAGAATTACTGAATTTAGACCTCAGTTTGGAACTCCGATCTAAATTTCACCCCATGTTCTGTTAGCTTTCACCTCGTTTGGAACTTACTGGGACTCTAATCTAGATCCCAGATTTTCAAAACAAAACCAAAGTTTAAGACTTCCGAAATAGAGTGCACGATTTCTTCAGTGTTTTGGAGCGCTTCGACACACAGCTGACTTTTACTGCATCCCAACATTTTGACTCAGCAGTGTTTCGTGGCACTTTTGTTGTTAAAATCTGTTCACAAAATGAACTTGATACCGAAGCACGCACTTGTTCGCCCACTCGAAATGCTGTTGATGCGGTAAATTTTGGTTCCGGGCGATCCTTACGTAGTGTTGTCAAATTCTTCCCTAATATCTGCATAACAATATATGGACAATTCCTTCCGGTCTTACCACTTGCATAAATCACCGGTATATTATCCTGCAGCAATAACGGGAAATATTTGTTCACTTTTTATTTTCGAGGATAGTGGCCAATTTACACTTTCTGTCAGTACCTTAGCTATCTTCCGTTCATCCCAGAACCCGTTACATAGAATTTCCCAACAATTTTGTTCTTATCGGTTTGGCCGACATGGCGCAGTTGCAAGCAGCAGTAATCATATCGAATATCAAGGGTTCAATTCCGCTAGTGGAACAATCCAATTTTTCTACGATTTTTTCCTTTGTTTCGATAGTAAATTGGTACTGGCACATGACTCAAGCTGGTTATCCAGCTTGCTTTTAAGCTACTTTGAAAAATAGAGCTGCCGACAGCCTTACCAGCGAGTGGTGGCTGCTGGCATTTGTAGCCGCTCAGGCTACTTCTGAGTTGCTCCATCTCTCACAGGAAATGAATACGGAGCGGACATTGACTCTTGGATTTGACTTCGACTGGACTGTTAAAATTATTTAGTCCTTACAAGCGAAACTTATGAAAATTAGCTTCATTGCTTACTTGTCCTGACTAAGCAATATTTTTGCAATTTTCACAGAAAGTGCATTAATAACAAAAAAAG